ATGGCTTTGTGTCAATCGTCTTTGTGACAAAAACTGTCTTCTTGGTGAAAGGAACTATTCGGAGAACTTCTGTGTTATTTTTTTGTTGATTATTTTTCTTAGATTAGTTTTACTTTTCTTATTCATACTTGAAGTATATCCGACCAAACACAGACCTTCAATTGTTTTTCGAATAGCTTCTTTGGAGATGAGCTCCCCCTCAAGGAAGAAGCCCCTTCGAGACATAAATAATTTGTTCTCAGAACCATTCTAGAATAAGTATCTAATAGGCATTTTAGGATCTATAGGAAGTAACACCTTTCGAGTATAGGTTCTAGGTTATCGTTCTCCTCGCGACGAATGAATACTTTGGATCCCTATATTTTCAAATGCGAAAGTCTGGGTGGTTTCCTATTCCTCATTACGGTAGGTGTCTTAGTGACCTTCTTAATTGTTAGGATGTTTAATATATTACTTGTTGCGTCTGGGGCGTAACCCCATAAACTTATGGGAATCCTAGCTCGAGTTAAGTATTCTCCACCCTGTCAAATCGGAGCATCCTAATCTTTTTGCCTACTTGGTTTTCAACTTCTTATTGGAATTCTCTGAACACTTCAAAATGTTTCTGACTTATGCTTCATTAAATAAATATAACCATACCTTGTAAAATCAATAAAAGTCACAAAGTATCTTTCACCATGGCTTGTAGGGAATCTGAACGGCCACACACATTGATGTAGATTAGGTCCAACAAATCCTTCCTTCGTTCATAGTTTCCAATGAAAGGCAATTTTGTCATCTTGCCAAGTAAGCAAGACTCGTATACATCATTCCAATTTAGGTCAAATGATTCTAAGACCCCGTCCTCTAGGAGCCTGGTGTGACAACCGTAAAAATTATGTTAGCGTTCGCCAAACTTTATCATTTGTGACACAATGTATTAAATCTAATGTAACATATTCCACTTAGTTTAATGCAAAGAAAGTTTTATTCTTTGAAATGCATCCGGAATATCACTAAAATCTCCAATGTCTGTAGATCATTTACAAACAAATACTTTTCATTATATATAAGTGATGATTTGGCACATATGATTCAAATGGATATATTTATTAAGTATTATTATGCATAGATGATACACTAAATATACATTACACGAAATAAAAAAAATAATATAAAAAATATCGAAAATGGAATTTGTATTTAAAAGTTACGATCTTTCCCTTAAACCATTCAACCTAGCATATAATTCTAACTCTAACTGATTTTCGCTGAAAAACCCTAAGACTTTTGTGGATAAGAACGAAACGTAGCCCGTGGGGTTTCTACCATCAATGAACCTTCAGGCAATTTGTTCGGCTAGTTATGATGCCTCTTGGAGACATATTTTTATGTTTTCTGGGATATAAAATGGTCTAATATTTGCAAAAAATCGCTAATTTATGTTTTTCACTAGCAAACGACATTTTCACGCACATAAGCGGACTGCAGCAAACGAAATTCTACCGTTAAGCGTAACTTCAAACCATTCATTCACATAGCTACACTATTTGTCACATGAATGTTTTCATATATTATGGAGCATAATTTCGAAT